ATTTTATTATTATTAATTTACAATTTTTTACATACATACATAAATACTCATAAATTCAGCTTAGAAAGTACATCATAATTTTTGACTAAACCAAAATTAGGATTTAAAAATTTACTTTATTCATTAGCAGCCTCTCACTGCTGTTGGTGTTTGCTTTTGTATATGTGTATGGGTTTTGTGTTTTTGTGTATGTGTTACGTTTGTGTGTATATGCGTGTGGTACGGAACTCGCAAATGTGCATACACAAAGCATGCAACTGCGTGTAAAGTTTATTAAAATTATCTACAGATAATTATTACTAATTTTTATGCAACTCTAAGGATTTTAAGAACTTTTTTGCTTATGCGAGTTTTAATACAATTTTTGTTGTTTATAAAATTTGTAATTTCATAAAACAGTAAATAAATATATTTTTACGTGAATTGTACAATACAATGCTGTGTGTGTTTGTTGAGTTGTATAAGTGTGAGCGCGCATGCGCAATTTCTTTTTAATTCATTTCTGAGCCGAATTTTTTTTTGCATTGCATTTCTTTATATTTTGCGCTCACACATAATATTTTGTTTTGTTTGCTGATTTTTAAATTTTTTACAAAATCTTTAGTTTTAGTATTTCTCGATTTTTCAAATTTTGCACATTTTATTTTTAACTTAAAATATAAAAAAAATACGTAACATTCGTTTACCACATTTCTTTTTCTACGCCATATTTTTCGTTTACAAATATATTTGCTATATAATATAACGGTTTTGAACGCTTCAATAATTACTATATGTTCGCTGCAACAACTCTGGCGACTCTCTTTTAAAAATATTTTCTTCGCTTGCTCTGCGTTTCTAAGAAACATTTGTTTGGTGAGTTAAAAAGATAAGCATTATATAAGCGTATTACTGCATTTCAAACTGTTTTCAACTATTCACTTCCAACCGCTCATCTCTTCCTTCAAATTTGCTTCTCTCTCTCTCCTCTTCTCTTCCCACAAGTGTTTGTTTATATTTTTCAAGTCGCTGTTGTTTTTGTTTTTACAAATGTATTTTTTGTAGCTTCTTATTGTTGCTGTTGGTATTGCATATCAAGCTTCGCAACATTTAATCGACGAATAGCTGGAAAGTAACCGAACCGGTTCTTGCATTTAAGCTACCGCTATAGATGACATTCTTGGCCCATGCGCGGCACTCGATATTCACTAGTTGATTCTGTTTCAGTTTTTCAAATTGTACAGCAATCAGTGGACTAAGGTAGCCAGGTTGATTGAGGTATGGATAGTAGAAGGTGGGGAAACCACGGCCGGGATAGTATTTCATTTCGCCAATACTCTCCTCATCGATGGGGTGCAGACCTTTGCATGATACCCAAATTTGTTTACGCTGCGTGGAGTAAGAAAAGAAGAAGTTAATTTAAAGTTTCGTAGAATACTAAATTTTTGGTAAGAAAAAATCATAATATTGATCTAGTCTCAATTACAAATAAAGAACTAAAATATCTCGATCACAACAGTCGGGTCTACGAAATTGGAACGGACCCTTATTTTTATCCGGCCGAAGACTGGCAACTCGGCAGAATTCTGTCGCTACAACGACAATATTTCCCAATTATACTTTACTAATATCCCCTGAAAACCCTGTAAAACCTCAGAGTACATTCCTCTCTCAACATTATCAAATTGATGTTGTGGATGTAAATTGAGAGATCGGCTTCGAGGTTGACTCTGAATGTTTTGCCTCGCCATGATCACTTAACAAATAAAACCTTGGTCTTATAAAGGCATTCCGTAAGATGGATAGTGGCTCTGAATATAAATGAAGAATTCATTGTGGAAATTAATTGAAAAAGAAAAGGGATGTAAGTGACAGTAGATTGAAAGCAACTTCAAAAACGGTCAGCGTCGTGTGCGGTTTATTCGGGACGATGGAATCGTACTCCGTTAAAGGTAGGGGCAAAGTCTTATTTGAAGGGCGGGATACTCTCAGGTCTCTTAAGAAATAAAACCTTGGGACCATAAAAGCGACTACCATGGTTATAGTTGTGGCTCTGAGTGAAAAAGAGAATATAGGTAAGTATAATGTGCGAAGCAGGGAACTTGTTGTATAACGGAATTCTGAATTCTACTTTATTATTACTATCTGAAACTCTAATCATACAACATAATTATAACTCACCTCAATTTCAGTTAAATTGCCAATGTGTTCTTTGAGATCTGAAGGCATTTCGTCGGGCAGTGTTTTGTCATAGAAATCCGGCAGCCAGTTGAAAATTTTGTTCAATTTCAAGAAAATGCAAGGACGTCCATTTTGATAACCGTAACCAGTTTCTTTAGAGCATGGTCCAAAGTTGTCCACATTGACAACGCACACCTTATTGGCGCCATTTGTCTGATTGAAATTACAGAATTTCTTCTCACCAGTGCTCCGGTATTCTGTCAAGTTGAGAAAAAAACAACATTTCTTAGATAAAAAATATGAGAATTTCTGCATATGTGTAACTCACTTTCAAGAAACTGCTCCACCAAACCCGTCCAATAGGCGCCTTCGACTGGCTTCTTTGTATCAAATTGTATCACCGAGCCGCGTTCGGTTTCATCGCTCAGTGGACGAAAGCCTAAGCCGGGATTTGTTCCAATCAATGATCTTTCCAATTTCCAAGTCGGTTCTTTGTCGCTCAGGGAGGCGAATAGACCTTGCATGCAGATCGCAAATAAACCGGCGAGTACGATGTAGAAAATAGTGTAGAACAGCATCAGCTGACCTGAGAGTAGAGATGAGGAATGTTGAATTAGACTAATTTCATAGATATTATAAGATTTTATATTTTAGATTTAGGTTGAAAATACGTTATATATATTAAAAGTCATGTATTAAATTTTTAATTTGTTTGAGAAAATCTGCAGGACCGAACGTAAATCTTTTCTTGACAATCTGCCGATATTCCTGTATTTAGTAAGGTACTTCTCTATAGTTACAATGGTGGGGTCGGGATAGTTCCCTTGGACTCTTTTGAGAAAATCTAAATAGAAGCCTAATATCCAGGAGAGAGAAAGAAGGGGTTTGATTGTCTTATTCTGATTCAGAGAAGTCATTGGCAAAAAGTGGACTCTCCCACCGAAAGCAGTCTTTTAGTTCTATGGTAGTTAAATTCATTCTGTTCTCTGCGGTCTTTGCGTAGTGTGTATAAATTGCGACCATAAGATGTAGGTAAGCACAATTCGATGTAGGAGATTATATTTCCAAATGGGTCAATGCTTGAAAGAAATGTTGGTGGTGTGTTTTATTGTGAGGAGCTCTCTACTAATTTCAGTCCCAGGCTTTTTAACTATTGTAGCTTTTGTAAAGGCGAGTTGCAATGCGGCACATTCATTACTCCGGCATGTAGAATATTTTAGAGAACTGACTATCCACTCAGTTAGCAGGGCGGCAATACTAGCCGTAAGCTCACTATCTGGACGTGCCGTTAACTACATTGCTGGCGAGTTGGCAGGGAAAGGCATCCCTGCCAGGCTCTTAGTAGAATTGTAACGGGTCGATGCTTCGCCCTCTTCGTGCGAACTCTTATAGGATAGTTGGGTTTAATGAAAGTTTGTCGTCGCTGGACTATAATCTTGGTTGTTTGGTTGCTCTGTCAGATTATTTCGTCCCAAGGTAGATTCAATGAGCTCTTTGCTCTCAGAATTCTAGCGTATACCTAGTTGTGGGGGTCTAAGAAGTCCTATCGGCACCCACACTATAAGGTGGAGAATCTCTCCCGGTACCGACAGTACAGGCTGTATGAAAAAATACGATAGAAAAATCTAACACTTCCTACTTGATTGCAACGTCTTTGTGATATCAAAACTCTAAGATTTTGGATCTTAGACTTGAATCTACAGCGCTGATGGAAATAGAAATTAAACGTCTAAGCAGATTTGTATTAGTCTCAAGGCGCTTTGTCGACGTATAAAATTAATTACAGGAATTCTATTTTTATTGCTTAACCAAAGACTACGTTTAGTGGAACAAGTTTAATCTCCATCTGCAGAAGCGAGAGCCACTGAACTTAACCTAACTAAAGTTTTTGAATTTTTGACAAGGTAGTATCATCTAAGCCATTTCCCTATGAATGCTTCTGATTCTTTGAGTTGAAGTGCTCTGGTTGTCATACCTTCTGACAGCTACTGATATATTCTATAGCCCATAGCTTTATTTTGAACTAAGCACTTTGTTTGTCATATGACCAAGTTTTAAATCCCTTCAAGAATCAGTTTAGAAACCTAACCTAATCTTAACTATTTTCTGAAGTTAAATCCCATTGTGAATGAGATTAGAAACCTAATCCTACCTATTTCCTGAAACCAAACTAACACCTCAACTAGCATACCGCAAAAAAAAAAAAGTGGTAGGGTGTCTCAATTTCAATGCAACATTGTTGCAACTTATAATACATACATCTGTGACAACTACGTCGAATATTTTCACATTTTTGCGCATTAAAATGCATATTTCAAAAATAATATGTATATACAAATGTATTTTATACATTTTTGCAATAAAGATTTGCAACGACACTTTACAACCGACTTAATTTCTAGTTTTATTTTCTCTTTTAGCTTTTATTAGCTGTTTTGCTCTTATACATTTTTGCATAGTATGTGGTTGTTTTTGTTTTTTTACTGCTTGTAATCAGTCAGTGTAATGGAAATGAGTTACTTGTAATCAGAAGTGAGGTGTTTACTTCGCAAATGAAACGTGTGCACGAGCGTGCTATTCATAACGGTCGACAGTTTCTTGCAATATTTTATAATGACAGCAACTTAGGGAATGCAGTCAATAAATAATTTACGGCACATGTGACATTTATTTGTTGCTTTTTAAGTGCAGTTTGAAGTGTAGATATGTATATTTGTGTATATATGATTACTATATACTGACTATATTGCGCCAAAGTGCTGGTAATCTACAAAGAGAAACGCAACGGCGTTGGCGTAGGCGTATACGTAACGAAATATTTAAGTGCTTATTTTTAAATTTACATATTGTCACCTAAAATACAATATAACGTAATATCACTATTCATAAGTTTACAGGCGAAGGAAAAGCGATATAATAAAAACAGCTGAAATTTAAACAAAATTTGAGTTTCGGTTATAAAGTGGTTATACAATGGTTATATAATGGTGAGCATACACTCATATTAACTCAATTTTTGGTTATAAAATGGTTATATATTGGTTATTATATTCGACAGCGATTTTTTAATTTTTTTTATGATACGTTATTTTGCATTTTAGGTGAAGATGTGTGTGTTAACTTGTATGGGTAAATACAAATATAAATGCTCATAAGTGGTTTTTAGTTGATTTCCGTTTTTACTCATAAAATATTCAGCTATGATAAATAAATCGCTGCCAACCAACACTACAGAAAATTCAGACAATTGCTTTTCATTGTCAATTCCATAAGCTGAGATAGTCAATTGGAGATGCTAAAAAGGTCGTCAGACTGTTAAATGCTCATAAATACTTAAGTGATTTGTTGTAAAAAAGATTTCTTTATCATAAGTACAGCAGACTAATGCCCGGTTTAAGGCGAGATAGCAGAATTGTTGGTGAAAATAGATGAAAGTGTGTGCTATAATTGTATGTGTGGGAAAGGGTGTTTATTGAGGACTAAAGGGATTTTTTTGAATAAGGTAATGAAATATTAAAGAAATATATGTGTTAAGACAGGCCATAGGCTTAGTGTAGCATTTAGTCAATGGTTTTGAGAGTGAATTTGTTTTTGTAGTCATTCTAGCCTTTTAATTGGATGGAAATTAAAATATACATATGTATGCTGTAATAGAAGATATTGTCCGCACAATGATCTACGGTTGAGAAAATCAAAAATTGACAAAATGGTGGTTGAAAAAAAGTATTTCTTTGTATTGAAAATTTTGAAAATTTTTGGCCTGCCAAAATTGGATTCTTGATACAATCACTTGACTGATAGGTCATTGGAAAATTATCTACTGGACATGAAGAAAACATTTGAGAGTGATTGGATAAGTAATCTGAATCTGAACTGAACAGCAACACTTTCGAAGCTGTAACTTGAAAAGATTTGAAATATCGATTCAAAATTTTATTATGGAATTTTCTTATAGTTGTTAGGTTATAATATCGAAATATGCATAAAATAATAATAAATAAAAATTTCACATTAAGTGCATCCATTAATAACGCAATAAAATGGGACGAGTTGAAATGTTCATCTTAAATTTGAAAATACATTTTTCAATCATTTTATAAAAATTTTTGAAAGAAAAAAGTTTTGTTTCGGAATTTTCATCCAAAATTTGGAAATATATTTTTTAATATTTTTATATTTCCTTACATAGTCGAAAATGGGCTCATCGCTGATGATGATTTGAGCAAAAAATTGTATAATATTAGTTTGTTGCAAAACCAACAGTTTTGGAGACAAATTTCCACAATTTTTAAACAATACTTTCGTACCGTAATAAAGCACCTTTTGTATATTAGTAAACTTGTTGAAATACTGTTTGCATATTCATATTTTTACTAATTAAAATAATTTCCTACTTAAGCAGGTAAATAAATATTTATTTTAAGACACATATTTATAGTTATAATTATGTATATATATACATATATTCACATAAGTATGCGTATGTATGTAAATTTCTCTACAACCGCAAGTAATCACTTCACTCACAGCCACACCGTGTGCTGTTAAGTAGCAAAGTATATAAATTAAATGTTGTCGAGTTGAAATAGCAATAATGAGACGTTGGCAACAAAACGTGCCATGAATCAATACAAAGTCACTCTATCAGGTACTCACAGGTAACTGGAAGGCAAATCATTTAATCGCACTTTAGCTGTACTTACACCTATACATGTACATAGGTATGTATGTAAGCGTGTCTAAAATTATTGACATTTTAATATTTGTATAAAAATATCAGCACACTCGCAGTTCTATACTTATTTTTATACATGAAAATATGTGATTTTGATGCACTTAGTATAATTAAAATGTGTCGATTGTTCATTTATTATAATTAGTTAGAAGAATTAAAATTTCTAAGCATGTTTTGCTCTCTCGCATGTTTTGTTCGGAGTTTTAACAGAGGAATGAAAGAACACAATTTTCAGTATAACTAATTAATATACCTATAATTTTAAGTAGAGGTTTCCAAGAGTTTAAAAAATATTTAAAAGAAATTATTTTTCGTCAGCAGAACTAATTAATATTTTCAGTACCTATTACATAAAATGATTTGAAGAAAATAATTGAAAAATAAAAATAAAATATTTAACAAGATAATCAATTTCCATCATATTTAGCCTGCATTCTAACACAAAGATACAAATTTTTCTCCATACAAATCTTTATTATTGCTTTCTTTCATCCATTGTGTTCCTCTTGAGACATCATAATTATATACAATTCACTTTCTTCATGTATATGTTCTTTTCCGGGTATTTTTTTTTATTATATTCATACCAAATTAAAGCGCTTTATCGCAAAAATATTTCAGTTTTAGGGCAAATAAAAATCATATACAGGCTCGAGGCTGAGTGTGCCGTCTTTAAACGCGCTTTTCTCGAAATACATTCATATATAGAATATACTACTGTAGGCAAAAAGTAGTGTGTCTATATAATTTAATTTTCCCGTGAGAACCCAATACACGAAATATTTGGTATGACTGGTATTTTCGTTTTTCTCGAAACTGTATTTTTGAAGTCGGTTGGCAAGATTTCTCGA